ACTTCTTTATTTTTCTATGATGCCTGCTTGCCCCACATTGATGGCGATCCGCTTAGCTACTCCATCCTTTGTTCCTTACTGTTTTTCACATTTTGACTAGGTCTATATGTCACTCAGTACTTAAAGCGTACATAAATGTTTCAACATCAAATAGTTAATACTCACCTTTTGTTTTAATTTGAGATAACCTCTCTCCCTATCGTTTGTCATACATACTCCTCACCTAACCTTTCTCCTCCCTCCCTCCCTCCCACCCTCCCCCACCTCTCATCATCTCTAGTCAGTGCCTCTCTGGGCAGCAGCTCTAACAACAGCCCCCCATCACCCTGAGGCCGCCCCACCCCAGGCTGCCCCTCCCTCAGGTATGTGAAGGACCCAGCGCTCCCCCAGGCCTTTACACTATCTCTAGACTAGCCCCTATGACCAAGCGGCCAACACCCATCCGACCTGACCACACTGACCCCTCCATGGCCCTGTCACAGAACAGCAGGTAGGAGATCAGCTAATGACGTACAAGATTGTTTGTTGTAACACGTCACCTCTCATGAGGTTTGGGGCAAATAGGTAATACAAGGTAGGTGAAATAAGATTTTCCCACACCTGTTGGGGAAACCACAGCAGCTGTCTTCGGCTGTGACCTAATGTGAACGAAGCGCAGGGCTCTCACTCCAGCAGCCCACTTCCGGCTGCCGCAGCTCTCCAGCGGAAACTTTATAGTGTCGTACTGAGTGATGGAGATATACCAGGCTACAGACCAGACTGTGATCAACCCCTGTGATAAGGCAGAACACCAGACCAGGAAGCACCTTGTAGACAAGAAGGCCATCGACCACGATCACTCAAGGGACCTGCTTAAAGAAGAAGCTATGGATGTAGATACCGGCAAGGCTGCTGACCATTCCATGAACTAGCCAAACCAGCCGACCTGAGACTCGTTTTTTAAACATTGGTGCTGTCTTGGTAGACTATATGTTGTACAAGTCAACATAACTACAGGCATGCTTGTGGATTACATGCTGACACTTTTTTACTCAAGATGATTTTGTCCAGATGAGAATGTGGATGGAGCTTTGGTTCATCTATCAATCTATCAATTCCACCAAGAGACTCAGCACTTTACTCTCTGTGACATTTTCCTCAAACAAACAAAAATGTCTGAACGTCTAAATCAATATCTGTGACTACTCATTCATGTTTTACAGAGCAGTGTTTTGAAATGTGCAGGTGGGTACATCATTTCAACTTGAACTAGCAGGTGCTTATGCTCAGGCTGTAACTTGTCCTGTAGTCTGAAGCGCTGATGGTTATCCACCGCAGTATTTATATCCCATTTGTGGAACTGGCTGGCTGGCTGGCTGTGAGGATTAGTGGGAAACACAAGGGGAAGCATTTTAAAATAAGATACCTGGTAGCTGAGAGTAAAAAAGGTAGGCCTGCATTTGGAAACATTACATTGAACGTAGTTATCGTTAGGGGTAAACACAATCCAGCACATTAGCAGCTTTTTGTGAATATATCTCTGTCAAGTCACATAGTTGTCGTTAATGTCATATTTACAGTATTAAGTATATTTGAAAGTACTTATAAATTATTCATTTGGAGGGTGGTTTGCAAAGTATACCGTATTAACTTGATGCCATTTCAAGGCCTAGGCTGTGAACCAATCCAGACCTTAAACAATCTCTTACTATTAGGTTGCATGTGGAAATAAAGATATAGAAGTGTGGTTGCAGAGCATTGTGGCTGTTGATGCCATTAAGACAAGACAAAGAGAAAGGGGCTACGTTAGCATGTCGTTAGCATGTCCAGCAGCAGGATGTTGTAAATATCACACAGTGGCGTTCCCCAGACACAGGCAGAAACGCTGGGCGGGAAGCAGAGATTTTACTGCCTGCTCTGCTTGCCTTGCCCATAGTTCTCTAGTTAGAGAGCTTTTCATTTCACTGTCTGATCTTATTACCCATGCAGACTTCAAGAGGGAAAGAGATTCCCCTCTGTCTGTTCCCATCTAGTGTTTCCATGGCATTTACAGAGGCCGTTACCTGTCGCTCCATTCCTCAGTCACTGTTCATATGAAAGACAAAAGACTTTGAGCTCAGAACTCGGAGATTGTTCTTTGAATTGGAGATTGTGCTTTGAATCCTGAGGGATTGTGCTGGTCTGGAGTAGCATTGGTCAAGAAGATGGTAGGGGATTGTGATTCAGACAACAGGGCTTTAGGAGGGTTTTTACTTGTATCTTATACCAGCCACGTTGCAGAGGACAGACTGGCCATAATGCAGAGGGGCGGTGATTGAGAGACCTTTTACATCATTGCTACTGTGACCGACATTGATACAACCGCAAGGTCTCCTCCAGAAATGGAATTCTCCATCCCCTTTCGTCCCTATAAAAGCTGACACCATTCCTGCAAGTTTCGCCTCTCACAAGCCATTTTAATTCAGGTAAATTGCTAACTAATTTCTGCAACAATAAATTGCTTACAAATGTATTCCATCATTTCATCCAAGGGCACGATGACCACTCATGACTACTCATGATTTACCATGCTAATACAATGTTGCATCAACTTTATTTTAGTTCCTTTCCCAATGCTGATACTATTGTTTTACATAATCTGTCCTCGACGGTCTCGTAGCCAGTTATATTTAGTCAGGCAAACACGTGATCACAACAGAGCTATATAGATGAACCCTAGACAGAAGAGCCTCCACAAATGGCTGCTCTTCCCCTTGGTGTCCCGCCAACATAAGCTGTATTCAGACAGACTAATCTCTCCCTATACTTTGTTAAGCACCTGTGCAGGTGTGGAGACCGCAAGATAATCTAAGCCACTGCTGGCACTTAGAAATCATCTGCCCAGTCATTATGAGCGCTTAGTTAAAAGCAATCAATCTAGACTGATTTAATTTGAAGCGAACGTAGGTTAAAAACTTCCATTGAACTTCATTCGGTTGCCTTAATGCACCCCAAAATGTACCATACAGTAGCAAGCACTTATAGTGTGGCAGTTATTGGTTTGTTTTTGTTCTTTAAGTGCCATATTGATTTTTCAGTGAACTGTATCCATATCACTGTAAAAGTTCTTACTTCCAAAAAGACGTGCAGTAAAACATTCTTACACATACTGTAATATATTCTAGACCGCTCCTGTAGGTAAATCATTAAAGTAGTGTTTGATCTACATTTGAGAAGGGTGACCTTGCCAAGTTTTAAGACTTGCAAAGTAGGATTATCCTCTGTTTTCCAGTAGCCCAGTTTATCACCTTTTCAAGAGATGACAAACTTGTAAAGAAACGGTTGTATGGATACTCAGTGTTTGGGACTACAGTATAGAAAAAAGGCAGTATGTTGTTCTGTTCTTCTTGATAACAGCACAGGAGTTGGAGGAGAGTGTGTTGTCCTGATTGTCAACTTGGTAAACCAGACCTCCAGTCTGATTATCAGTTGGTTTTGTGTCTATCTCAGAGGAGGGCAAACTCTTCCATCCATGTTTCTGTTTTACAACGTTAACAGAGCTTCATTACAAACATTGTTTTGGGGATTTCTGTCCAAAACATTTTATGACCACTCCACTAACCATTTACAAGATGTTCTGCTTTGCAGTTTTACATAATGGCACACAGCTGAAACCGTGTCCAGCAGTAGGCTAATCATTTGTTTTCAGCATCAATGAGTGTTGGATATTTTGATATTGTTTTATTCCCGGACATACAGTATAATATTACTTTGATTATGGCATACATCAGTTAGGGCTTCTATTAGTAATTTTAACCATTCTGTCCATTGCTCGGCCCTTTTTTAATCTGTCCATCATTGACCTCCCATCTCCTATCTGTTGATATTTTGGCCTGTGCTATAATTGCTCTATTTTTAGCCTGGTATGAACATCCAGCCTCTGTAGGTGTAATACAATCTATAATAACAGGGCACCTGAATGTCAATAAATAGCAATAATGTAATTGATAGCCTCTGTGTCTACAGTCTGTCTGGGATTACTGCTGAATCAGACAAAGAACCACTTACAGTAATCTAAACAAGTCTAACAGGTATTGCTGCCTTAGACCAAGGAACTGTTATCAGATAAGACACAGTTATATGATTATAATGTAGGTTCTATGTGTGCAGTTGAACCATTCAAAAGTACATTGAAAATGTAGATTGATTTGAGTAGTGTTGAGTTTATTTATTTCATTTACTTTGTAAAAGTATGCTTGACAGAGTAATATATGTAATTGTTGATACAATGAGTGTAATCAATCACAATTTGTTATTTAGAATATTGAACCAGAGATTTCTCATAAATATTTATTAACTAAAACATTTCATCACATATTCCAAAAGATGGAAAAGAAAATCTTATGTACACTTTGCGCCTTCACATATTCCGGTACTGAATGCATTCTCTTCAATCCTAGACAAGATAATAGAATAGTGCAAACATTAGACAAACACATGAGAAACAGTAGTTTCTGCAAAGCCATTTCTCATGTGTTACGATTCATACTTGATTATCAGAGCAAACAGTGAAATATGTGAATTTCTATGACTGAAACATTTCATTATTTAAAAAAATATATTGTTTTACCTGCAATGTCTAATTGGACATTCTACTAACGGAACTCCTCTGCCTTTTAGTGAATCAGCAGTTAGAATGAAGCTTCTCGTTCTTGCACTAAAGAAAATGCAGTTACAACAAAAGTAAAGTTTCTTATTGCCTCGACGTCATCCACAGTATTAGCTACCATATGTGTGAAGACTGGAATGTTTCAAGATCATCAATCTGGAAAGTTGTTGCATTTCACACTTACAGTAGTACGAATAAATAAAACAGTATTAACAACCCCAGCCGTGTTATTACAGACAGACACATGTAAATCTATAGCTCCAACAACATGGGAAACTGGATCAAATTACACTCCTCCAGGGAGGGCAGTTTATCTGATCAATTGTGCTCAATGTGCCATATCAGAATTTCCTGATAGCTACTGCAGCAGACTTCATCTGGGCAAAGGCACCTCTTCCCTCCTTTCCAGACTGGCAGCCATAGTTTTGGGACTGCATGGTTGACTCAGGCCAATAGCAGTCAGCCCTCTGGCTTTGAACAGTTGGTCTGATCCCCAGTGGAGGCAGAGGGGGCAGGGGCATGTGGTGGGATGGTGCATCACATTGGAATGGGGGTAGAGGGCCGTTGGGGGTAGACCACCTGGCCTGGAGTAGGGGGAGTGAGAGAGGCGCAGGGGATCCAGTGGCCTGAGGGGAGCAGCGAAGTGGCTGGGAACAGAGGGGGCACCTGTCCCCACCCCGAGGTGAGAGTAGAGGTGCAGGGGGAGGTGGGGGAGAAAGGGGTAAGGTAGGCCTGCTGCAGCCTGGCTCACCATGAGGGCACACAGGTTGGGGTCCAGGGGGTGTGGCCAGCTGAGAGAGTGACGCTGCCTCTTGTCCTTCATTCGCCTGTTTTGGAACCATACCTGGGGTTGGGGAGGAGAGACAGGAGGATGAGAGGGGAAGGAAGGAGGGACCAACCGAGATGCCCACTTAACCTGGGCTGCTTCACATTTCTCTGATAAATTACAGTAGACCCACACTATAATACATCACAAATGTGCTTTGTATAGGTTACATTCAGTTAAGGTTGGACCATCACTGTTAAACTGGTAGTTCGGAAGCCTGAGCTGACACTCCCTACCTATGAAAAAGTAGATGCCAGAAGCTGTTGCTAAACTCCCTCATTTATGAAGTCATGCCTTGCATTCCTTGTCATTCATAAAAGATCCTCAAATAGTTTAGATAAAGGTAAAGTCGTTTATATGCATATTAAAGTGACTAAGTTGGTCAGGGCCCCTGCATAAGGCAGGCTGCTTGGCTGTCAGTATGCCAAGTGTAGGCTTAGCTCTCAAAATGAACAAGAATGAGAGGTAAAAACTAATTTGAATATGTCATTACTCATTTGTCAAAACTCATTTGACATTTAAATATAATTTCCATGTGTGTAGTAGGGTAAGCTACCTTAATTGTAGTCTCGGGGAGGTTCAGGGCTGTCGCCATTTCGCATCTCCTCGGTCGAGAAACGTAGCTCTCCTTGAGGTATTCTTGCTCCAGGCGGGACAGTTGTTCCCGGGTAAAGGCAGTTCGGTGTCGCCGACTGTGGTCAATCAAATTGACTGAGCTGCGCGGGCATGGCTCATCTCCATGTCCACTGTTTGTATCAACCACTGTGGCGACCGGCGTTTCTCTGCCCTCTGCAACTGAAAATACAAACATTTAAAATAAAGTTAAATGAAAAAGAAACGTTTTTATTTCATTTTACAAATGATAGTGCATGTCTGTTGCAAACGGGTTGGATCCAAACTTCTCAATAGAATAGTATCGGCCTACTATTTGAAAGGAATACCAAACAGAAGTCTATCATGGTCGTTGTTGTCTAGTCGAGATGTAACTCCCTTAGCATAATATTTGGCAATGTATTGTCCATGCGTAATTGCGCGTACGTTACTAAAGTAGCACGGGCCTAAAAGTGAATAGCCTAAGAGCACTTTATCGGTTGCAACATAATGAAAACAGAGTTCACGGCATGTGGAAGCCAAGGCTACAGACTTCTAAGAGATTTGAGAATACTTGAGGGCTACTTACGCATAATGTCGTTTTTTTTTAGGCTATATGTGTCCTGGCTTCAAGTTTAAACCAAGTTTATTCCTTTAGAAATGTTCGCCTAAAATTCAAGTTATTCCAAATGCGTGCGCCACTGTATCATCCAAAGTTGATAACGCCAAAGTTGGTGTCTCTCTCCTTGCCTTGTTGGCGCACTGTATGCCGACTCGAGCCAAGTTCGTTTACAGAGAGGAGATGAGTTGTTTTTGTCGCCCCGTTTGAACCCCCTCCTTCTCTCCTTCTTTCTGTCTTTTATATCTCCCTGGTCGAGCCATCTTTTGCTAATGAGAGACACGGTCTATCCGCCAAGGCGCCGCCTGGGCGCAAGGAGGGAAGGAGGTGTTCAATTGTCTTTGGTCTCCGACCAGTCTTTGTACTTTTGTTATGGAGAATTAAGATCGACCTCCCTTTCCTTACTGTCATAGAAGCTTCCCTGTCGGAATAGACCAACCCTAATTGTTCTGTGGCGTTTGATGTTTGTATTTTTGGAAGTCAATCATTAGAACCCTAATGTTCGTAAATTGCCTAAAGGTGAGGTACAACCTGCACAAAGGCAGAAAACTGGGCATTTTACATTTTCTCAGATATTGTAGACCGACTTAATAGATTTTAGACGTATAGTTTGGCATAAATAGTTTTTAAAACACCAACTCATACACTGATATAATTAGGCCTATGTAAACACATTTGGCGATAATGATGTGAATGATTTATTGAAACAGAGACATGCTTTAAAACATTGTAAAACATATTATTGATAGGCTACAGAGTCAAACAGAAATGTTAAGGTAGCTACATGCATATAACACATTGGAAATTAAATATGGTTCCAAAATGTTTGAGTTTCCTGTTGAAATACGAGTTGGTACCTATAAAATCAGAGCAAACAGCCTACCTCAAGTACTTACTAATGTGTCAATACAGTTGCGCCTAGTGCACACTTGTAAATGGGGTGCTTGTTGACTGATCAGTGGGATCATTGGATTAATCCAGTCCTGATCCCATCGATTATTAAAGAGTGTTAACTCCACTGGCTAGGCCAAGCGTCAAACACTGAGGGGATCGATTATTCATTATATTGAGCAGATTTGTTCATCATAGACCTAAACGAAATCTGATGCATAGCCGCCTAACTCTCATCAATTTGTCACTGTGAAAAGTGAATTGCAGTGATGGCTGAATCGATGCGTCGCCCTCATTCTACATTTTATATTTTATTCATTTAGCAGACGCTCTTATCCAGAGCGACTTACAGTTAGTGTGTGCATACATTTTCATAGATGGGCTATCTAAAATGGAAACGTAATTTTTGTATAATTTGTGAATAGGAAGTGTTAGTTGTCACAGGCACGCTCGGCAAATTGGGTAGGCTTATTTAAAATAAAATAAAAATACAAAGTGTGGCCTCCGGGTAGGCTATAATACTGGTGGTAGAGCCTCTGCGTCTCTTTGTCCCGCTCCCCAACGTATAAACCTTTCTTTGCCCCAATAAACGTTGCCTTCCCCCAGATGAGTGGTCATGGAAATGGGGACCAGCGGGAGAGGGGAAAGGGTTGCAGCCTGGCTGCGCAGTGGTCCACCTTACTATCCTATTCCAGACGTAGACAGACAGAGCATGCACGTGGTTGGATCGGCGGACATGGCGCTGAAGGATGGCTTGGGCTACTGATATCACCCAAGCTGATGTTTTGTATTGTTATACATAGACTCTTTGATCACAAAGGGCCGAGTGGCTCCATGTTGACTGACTGCTGTTTTCTGTCTGGGGGCAAAACGGGTCAAACCAGGTCAAATGGCGCTTGCAATACAGGGTTAGCCTGTTAGTAGGCCTATATATTGTTGTATAGGCCTATTTGTTATTTGACGTGTTATTATGAGGAATCATCGAAATGATTATCAGCCACTAAACGTCTGAAATTTGCACACTCTCTTTACTCAAAAATATATATCATTAACTGCCAATCATCCTACAAAGTCAAACAGAAGTGTTAAGGTAGCTACATACGTTTAACACATTTTAAATTAAATATGGTTCCAACATGTATCAGAATCCCCCGTTGAAATAGGAGTTGGTACCCATAAAATCAGAGGAAATAGCCTACCTCATGTGCTTACTAATGTGTCAATAAAATTTCGCCTAGTGCGCACTTGTAAATGGGGTGCTGGTTGACTGATCATTGGGATCATTGGATTATGTTCCATCAGAACACTGTCTATATTGGTACAATGCTTGATTATCAGCCGCTAAACGTCTGAAGTTTTCACATTCTCTCTTTACTTTAAAAAATATATGTAATGAACTGCCAATCATTCTGGACATTCAGACCGATCGAATTAGGCCTATCTTAAATGACCATAATTTTGAATAACCAGAAAGTCATATTTGGCCGCTATTCAATCAGAATTGGTCTACAAAATACTTTACCAATGCGAATACATTTACATTTTAGTCATTTAGCAGACGCTCTTATCCAGAGCGACTTACAGTTAGTGAATACATATTTTTTTATACTGGCCCCCCGTGGGAATCGAACCCACAACCCTGGCGTTGCAAACGCCATGCTCTATCAACTGAGCTACATCCCTGCCGGCCATTCCCTCCCCTACCAAGGACGACGCTGGGCCAATTGTGCGCCGCCCATGAGTCTCCCGGTCGCGGCCGGCTGCGACAGAGCCTGGATTCGAACCAGGATCTCTAGTGGCACAGTTAGCACTGCGATGCAGTGCCTTAGACCACTGCGCCACTCAGGAGCACCCGAATAGAACTTGGATGTGATTCGATGTGTGAAACATCGATGTTCTGGACATCTGGATCATCCTCTCTACCCCAATATAGACGTTAACCACACACGTCTATCGAGTATTATACAGAGAGACTAACAAATTAAAAACAAAACAGTTTACGCTTAAATTACCTATATCTGATTCCAGTTCAATAGGTCACATGAATGCATTCTGCTATTAGGCTATATTGGTAAAATATAGGCCTACCCTCTGAGCTTCCCATAGTGTATACCCTCCCATGTTTTGGGGGCAGAAAAGGGGATCAGACCACTAACTGCCCACGTTCGGAATGCTGTCATTGAAGGAAGGTGCAGAGTACCACCTGTGGGCGCGTCACCAAGTTGAAGATGAACATTTGGATGGAGGAGCATATAGATAGAAATCTATAGAGGATGGAGCAATAAGCTAATTAATAAGGAGGACTGATAAGCTTGCTTGAAATATTCATTTTCCATTCCCAGTTTAAACAATTACCCTCGTTTCCCAGAGTCTTCGTAGCGTTCCGATCATCGTTAGAACCTTCTATCTTTAGTAGCGGATGTGTTTCCCAGAGCCTTCGTTAGTAACGTGGCAGTGGCGGCTCCTGAAAAAATTCTCAGGAGGGGCAATTTTTCTGATGATTTAGGTGACCTACACACATTTAAAAAAAGATATGTCCAGCAACAACATGAAGACAGGGGCAGCATATAAGTCAATACCAGAAGCATTTATTGACTGATCTCAAAAGTGTTGGCTTACCAGGGTTGGTGGAGCCCTCAGTTTCATCTTTGCCTCGCAAAGCTAACTCAAACACTCCGCAAAACTTCACACACTGGATTAGCCGGCTGAGGATGTGGCGGTTCTTGCTAATGTCGTAGTAAATATATTTGTTATAGTGAATATGGAATATGATATGTTGAGTAAAATGTTGTGCTAAGATCTATTTAGGTCAGGAGCTGGTTATAAGTTCTGTTCCTATCCAATAACAATGGACAAAAGGGTCCTATCTTGTCAGCCTTGTCAGCAGGTGGCCAAGGACAACACCCACGCCATAGGCCTCTCAGTTCTTCCAACTCACGAGTTCTTGCTCTGAGGACACACACACACACAAACACACACACACACACATCATCACTGTTAAACACACACACACACATCATCACTGTTAAACACACACACACACACACACACACAAAAATCCCCTCTCTTAGGCTGAACATTTGAAGACAGAGAACCCGACTCAGAGCCAATGCAACAGTGACAGTAGCCTGCAGGGGACCTCGCCCAACTCATCAGGACCAATCAGAAGATCAGAACTACTAGATTGAACCTACTTCATTTATTGCATAAAATGTCTGCACACAATGTTTCGGGGCTCTCTTCAGATAATAATAATAATAATAATAATAATAATAATAATAATATGCCATTTAGCAGACGCTTTTATCCAAAGCGACTTACAGTCATGCGTGCATACATTTTTGTGTATGGGTGGTCCCGGGGATCGAACCCACTACCTTGGCGTTACAAGCACCATGCTCTACCAGCTGAGCTACAGAAAGTGGATACTCATGGATGCGCATTGCAATTGTAAAATGTCAACACAATTGGAGACACCACGTCATTTTTGGAGACATGTTATTGACAGTAAACTATTGTAGATGCGACTGCTAACTAACTAAAACATTTTAGCTGGCTAGCTAATCATCTTAGCTAAATGTGGGGCAAACAATTCAGTTATTTACCGTTAATTTGAGGGATTGGGGTGAAAGAAATCGAGTTACATAGTGATACTTTACGATATACTGTATTGACAATATCGCAATATTTTAGCGCTAGTTGGCTGTACC